GACAACTAGTAAAACCGCATTAAATATGCGATCAATGTGGGCATTATCTTCAATTCTTCCCCACAAACAAAACATGTTTTCTATTTGCTGCAATTTGATTTTTTTCAGTACCCTTTTGTTCGTTTCCTAAGTCTCAATTTCTCTTTGCTATTTTCTTAATTAACTTATTCCACCTTGTTATTTACCAAATTCACTCTATTAATATTGGTTCATTAACTGGACGTCCATTCAACTCAAACTAATATAATAATACATGCACAGTAAATGTTGCGATAATGTGGAATCATATTGGAAAAATATACAATATAAAATTTGATTATCAGCCAATGGATTAAAATACTCATATGTTTGTTCTTACTTATATTATCATCTAGAAAAAAACGATAAACAAAGAACGTTCTTGAAACTTCAACAATTTTAAATGTATGAAGGCATGAGTGGTGCCTTGCTAAAGATATGAAATATATGTTTTCTTATAATTAGGTAAGGAACAATATAATAAACTTATTGTTTACCTAGTGTCGACATAATGATCATATATATAGTTGATAGGTCATTTGTAACATGAACAATAGAAAATAAATAAAACTTAGCTACATATAACACTACTATGCTCTATATTAACTAAATTTAAAAATCAATGCAATCTTAGGTTATACCAAAGAGAAAAGGAAAAGAAGAAGAGGAATGGCGAAAGATTCTGAACTATGTGATTAACTTTGATACCACAAAGTGGTTTGGATCAAAAGAGAAATAGAAGCTCTGATACGAATTAATAGGTCGCAAAAGCTTATAAGAACACACAACAACTTTATAACAATTTAATTTCTCTTCAGAACACACACAACGACTTTATAACATTTTTCTCTTCCTCTCTTCATTGATCCACATTAAGGTCTTTAAATAAGAAATACAACATGGAAATTAAACCTATAATTTATGGAATTAAGATTGTGGAATGCTCCTAGTTTAGAGGATTATTGTTTTCCAGCATAATGGGATGATGTTGGTTTTCAAAAGCTGCGGCGCCCGTCTTGGGCATTGGAGCCTGGCCCACCTAGGGAATCGGAGCCTTGCCCGCCTAGGACATCAGAGCCCGGCCCGTCTACGGCATCGGAGACCACCACCTCGATGATATTGCTGACAATGTCAACCGTTAGAGTCATCAGAGTTTCAAACATTCGTCTTCCAATACTCGGACTCGAGTGCTGAAACTGACCTTGATTTGTATATCCGTGATGGTCAAATTGTGTGTAATAAGGCTGGTAGTGCTGGGAATGGTGTAATTGTGTGTGATAAGGATGGTTATACTGAGAATGGTGAAATTGTGTGTAATGAGGCTAGTTATACTGAGAATGGTGAAGTTGTGTGTAATGAGGCTGGTTATACTGAGAATGGTGAGATTGTGGTTGCAGCGCAATATACCTTTGCTGAGTTGCCGCCCCTGTTGATGCAGACGACTTAACGCATTCCATGTGAACACTTAACCTGCATAGACCGCACTTGTACCGCCAAGATCGGATCGCACCGCGGCAAACCTCGCACGTGTTGCTGGCTCCCGAGTGACTCAGCTCTAACTGATGGTCCGGGTGAGGAACGTGCCTCACCTGCTGAGGCAGCTGGGTGCAAAGTGGGTGGACATCAAAGTCGCAAGGCTCGCAATGGTAATAGAGCCCCTCGACTGATTCGTCACAGATGTCGCATCTATGTTCTTTAAGTTGCCTCTGGTCTGGTCCTCTAAAGACTCGCTGGAGCTCGTGCTGTGGATGCATAAAGCTGAGGAGGGTAGGGGGACAAGTGGCACAATGATCGTGAAGATCGTAGTCGCAGGTGACGCAACGGTAGGTCGTCCCAAAGCCGTAGGTGTTGCAGCCATTGCATATGAACCCGCCCTGTCCGTCAACCTTGGTTAATGGATGGATATGGGTGAAATGTTGGATTGCCATCGACAAAGACATTTCCTTCATTTTCTTATGTTTGCTTGAGAATGGTTGGGACTTTATAGAGTATTATTCCCTAGCACAGTTTGGGAAATAAGCAAGAACTTTCGGATTAGCAAGAACTTTATAGAGAATTATTCCCTATAGCACTGTTTAGTTGTGGCAACAAGTTGTTATGCCGTATCAAATAAGTGATAAGTTTCGTTCACTTGTGGTTACGTGGTAGAGCAGTGTACTTGACTTGGCTGAGTGACCACATACAAGTGTATGGTCAACGTGGTCCCTTAATAGTCTAGGACTACTTGAGAAAGGGTAATTAAGGCGCAAACTTTTTTTTGTTTTCCATCTAAAGTTTGATTCATTCCACAACTCATCGGTTACAACTGGTAGATTACAAATGGAAGAGTGATACTTAGATAAATCCCAAACAAACAGTACTTGAGATTTAAACAGGTGGAGCTATTACCACAAAGGAAATGAACATATAGAACCAAAACGCTATCTCACCGGACTCCCAGGTCGAATTCCGAAGAAACCCGAACGGTCGCAAATGACTTGACCAATTGAAGAGGCTGAAGGAAGAGGGTCACCAGCTTTAGTTTGGCTAGGCGAGGTAATGCCTCGAAACCCAATCTTCCACAACAAAGGGGCAAGACATAGCTCGGCTACCTTTGTAGAGAAAATACCGTGGAGAAGAACAACGCTTAGTCTAAAGAACATAAACCTTTACACGCAAACTTGAAAGAGGAAACAACGAGAAAGCATATTAGGCGCGTCAAGAGGCACGAGAAGCTAAAACAGACCAGTAATAGAACATGAGATCCTCCATCGGAGCCGCTAAAAGGCCCATATCAAGAATCTACCAGCTATCACCACTGAACCGAAGGAGAACCAACCTAGACCTAGAGTTGAAGAAAGGAAGCCGACTCGTAGCAAGAGCAGCTATGCCGCACCGTCAAGAGATCATGAAGATCAATACATTCGGGCTCTCGAATCGACGAACCCCAAACCTCCGATCTAGAATCAAAAATCCCATCAGAACAGAACCAAATCTAACTTAAACAAACACAAACTCAAGGACTTGAGCTGAGATCCGCGAACCAAGAACCCACCTCAAACCACCGCACAAATCAGTCTAAAAAGCTTGACAGATCGCCGAAACCAAACCTCTAACAGAGACTAACCGCCGCATCTCACCAAACATGCTCAAGATCCCATAG